GCCAGGGGCTGTCAGCTGGGCTCTGGCTCTGAGCTGCCCAGCTGCCAAAGCAAACAGGGAAGCCCAGCCTCTGTGGCCTGTGATAAGGCGTAGTTGATAAGCTAACCAGAAGGTCAGTGGTTCAAACCCACCAGCTGTTCCATGGAAGGGAGGCGGGGTGATCTGGTGGGTTTGAACTGCCGACCTTCTGGTTAGCAACCAGCTCTTAACCACTACACCACCAGGGCTCCTTATGAATTAATGTATGATATAAATGATCAGTGATTTCTACATGGATGTTCCTGGTATCCTAGGGTATTTCAGGTTATCACAAGCTGCCAACAAAATTCTGAAAGATATTTCAATTGAATCAAAACTTAAATTTTTTTTTAAAAAATGGTTATTTTGAACTATCTTTGGTTTATCAAAGGAGCTCTGGTGCTGTAGTGGATTAGGGACTTGACTGCTAACTGGAAGGTCAGCAGTTCAAACCCACCAGCTGCTCCGTGGAAGGAAGCCGGGCCAGTCTACTTCCAGGAAGATTTACAGCCTTGGAAATCCAGTGGGGGTCATGATGAGTTGGAAATGACTCGATGGCAGTGAAGATGAGGTTTTGTGAGTGCCCCAGGAGAAGCACAGCTTTTTCCTGTTAGTGAGGTCTGAGGTCAATGTCTCCGTTGACACAGACAGGGCCCTGTGGGAGTGAAGGTCCTCAACAGCATTCCTTCCGTCAGTATAGTAGCAAGTGGTCTCCAAGCTGGTTTCGCAGCAGATACGTTTTATCAGACAGTTATACACAAATGCTAAGTAAGCAGACTAGAACACAGCACAGCTGCCTTGTTGCATTGGGGAAGGGCTCAAAGCTCCCCTCCCTCGGCCCCTTCCTTCCTCGGTGGGGGACCGTGGAGCCAGGGGTGTGCTGAACCGGGGACAACAACTGCAATGTTCAGCTGCACGCAGGTCCTTATATTGTCCTTCAGTTCACGCCCAGGATGAAGTCAGAGTGTGGTTCACAGAAAGTGAGTCTGTGAGGTGCTTGTGGAGACAGCAGTGATGGACCCCAAATAACGGTTGTTGTTGTGAGCTGCTGTGATGTGGGCCCCACTCCCAGCTCTGAACTGTGCCTCCTCCTCTCGTGTGGGGCTGACGCAGCCCCTGCTGTGGTCCTCTGACAAGAGAAGAGTCCTGGGTGGGTTGGTGTGTTGCCAGAGTAGGCCCCCTCCACAGAGAGGGCGTGCGGGTAGCTCTGTACACGTGCTTCATGTTTCTGGAGGCGGAAGATATTGCAAAGAGGTCTATTCTTCCGACAGCCCTCTCTGAGGCACTCTTAGGGAGTGGACACCCCCAAACATGTGGTCAGTTCCTGTGGTGTAGACAGCTCTCTCCCGGGAGTGGTGTGGACTCAGCCCGGAGTCCTTGGAATCTGGCTGGGAAGGCAAGATGTACCCCGCTCAGAGTGTGTGCCTTCTTAAACACCTGCTCTAAATTCTTCTCTTTTTTTTTTTTCCCATTAGAAAGATAACCAGTACACCTCGAACATCAACTCTTCGTACATCGAGTCTCTGTATCTCTCCTGTCCGCGGGGAATTGTGCAGTTCAAGGCGGGGTCACAGGAATATGAACTGAGTTTCCAAGGTGAATGTCGAACCGATCCAACATGGGGGTAGAAGTGGGGTGGGAGCAGAGCGATGTGTGTAGCCCCTGGGTCAGGGGGCTGCCCTCATGCCCTTTGATGAGGCCCACAGTCCAGGTGAAGCCTGGGCCATCCACCCTGTGCCCTGGGGTCCTGGCTCTGACACACTCCTGCTGTTCCACTTGGGAACGCCACCTGGCCCCTCGCGGTCTCTGTCTCCTCTCACCTGTGACATGGTGGGCATTGACGTGAGTGTCCTGGACTGCTCTCAGCACAGGTCTAAGTCTCTGATTCTGGCGGCTGCTCCCAGGCGGGGCTGCTGGCCAGCACAGGGGCCTTGGGCTCCTTTGTAGTCTCAGGACATGGCTCTTCCTTGTGGATGTCATCCTTTGCACCCAGGCTTTGACTTTGCACACCATGACAGCATGCTGCCTTCCACCACATTTATCTGAGCAGCGTAGAAAGGCCCACAGGGTGGTTAGCATCTCCCGAACCTTCTGCTGTCTTTGGTAAGACAGCAGACTGGACCTGCCCTCCCTGTGACACACTGTCCCACTGGCCTGCAGGGTGCTCCCTGCGTGCGGTCAGGCCCATGCCCCTGTTCAGGACCAGCCCTGTGGGTCCTTGATGAGAGGTAGAGGAGAGCCTTCTTGAGTCCTTGCCACTCCCAGGTGGTACCAGTTAACGGGCTTGGCTAGTGACTGAAAGGTTGGGGGTTCAGTTCCCCCAGAGGAGCTCAGAAGAAAGGTCTGGTGATCTCCATCCAGAAAGCCAGCCATTGTGACTGGGGGCACAGTCCTGCTCTGCACACCTGAGTCGCCATGAATCAAGGTCGACTTGACGGCTCCTGATTAGTTTGTTTCTTTTAACTTAACCTCCGAGTCCTGTTCCAGTCAGTGAGGCTTTAGTTACAGCTGTAAGAAACATCACACCAACCATTCTGCAAAACGACTGGCAGTACATCCAGATGCTTGCATTCTGAGAATTTGTTCTAAGGCAATAATTCCCAGACAGAAAACGGCTACAGGTGTACAGATGTTTACCGAAGTCTTACCTGTTAGTACCAAAAAGTAGGAACCGCCCGTGCATTGGGGGATGGCAACTAGGTCCATCCTAGTATCAAATTTCAGTGGTGCTTTGGGCAGTTGTTAAAAATTATAGTTAGGAAAACTGTATAGGAAAAGTAGAAAACAGTTTGGTTCTGATCCGAGAATCCCATGCCTATGTATATACCCAAAAGAATTGAAAGGAGTTGTGTGAATGGATACATGTACCATTGTTCATTGCAGTGTTATTCACAATAGATGAAAGGGGGAAATCGCCTAAATGTCCATTCCTAGATGAATGGATAAATCAAATGGGCATATACATGCAATGGGATACTCTTCAGCCATAAACGAAAACAGAGTCCTGGTGCATGTGATGACTCGGGTGAACCTCGGAAACATGATGCTGAGTGAGATAAGTCTGTCAGAAATGGACAGTGTGTGATCCCACCTTGTGGAATACCTGGCATAGGCAGGTGTCAGGAGCACTGGTGGTGTAGTACCTAAGGCATTCGACTGCTAACCAGAAGGCTGGCGGTTCAAACCCACCAGCCACTCCTCGGAAGGAAGACTGAGGAATCTACTTCCATAGAGATACCCCCTCAGAAACCCAAGGAGGGGTTGCTATGAGTCAAATTGACTTGACGGCAGTGAGTTTGTTTGTTTATTTTTTATGGAGACGGAAGTAGCTTAGTGGTGACCGGGGAAAAGTGGGAGGGAGGTGGACAAGGACCTCCATGGTTGGGGGCGCTGAGCTTCTGTTAAGGGGGTGTATGTATAGTTGGGAGCAGGTGAGGGTGATGGTTGGACAGCCTGGGAAACATAGTTCCCGTCACTGAACTGTGCGTGTGCAGATGGTTGAAGTGGGAATATTTCCTTACATATGTATTTACCACAATAATGAAAAACCCTGTCTAGCAGGAGCTGAGTTTGATGTTGTTAAATGGAGAAGGCAGAAGAGCACATTTGTGGTCTGCGCCCTTCTGTCTGCATTTTTAATGAGATGGAAAAGGTTAAAATGTGTCCCTGTGCATGACAATCACATCACTGCCTGCAGACCCAACTGCAGGGCAGCAGAGAACCACGAAACTCTATTACACTGGGCAGGAGAATTAGGAACGACACGCTTTTGAAAATTCTTCTGGGTTTAAAGGGTGGCAGAGAGGTGAGAAGTCACATGCCTCATTCCTGAACAGAGCAGCGTGGCCGTTAAATGTCGTTCATTGGGATCACAGAAACCAGTTCAGAGCATTTAGCTGCGGCATTCCAGGTCCGGGGTTCCGTTTCCCAGACCACACGTGTGTTCTGCGTTCCTGAAGCTGGTACGTGCGGGTCAGCTCTGTGCCAGGGACTGTTCTGTGCTGGTGCTACGTGGGGAACATGATCTCTTGGAGCCTGGATTCTAGAGGGTGGAGACAGTCAGTAAGCAAGTGAGCCAAAAAGGCAGTGCCAGACATGCAGGGTGGCAGGGAGAGAAGAAAGCAAGGTGGGGTCCAGTGAGGGCGTGGGGAGCTGCTGGGGCGCAGGGCTCGGGTCAGAGGGGAAGACCCAGCTCTGGCACCCTCCAGGGACTGTGAGGCCTCGGGCTGTGAGGGGCAGACAGGCAGGAGGGTTCAAAGAGCAGTGAGACCGTGTGTAGACAGAGATGAGGGCACAGACAGACCCTGGGGTACAGACAGTCCCAGGTTACGATGGATCAATGGGCTGTTCCAACAACTTCCTAAGTGGGTCTGACGCATAAGTCGAATACCTCTTTATTTTTATTTTGCATCATTATTGCCTTTTATTATCGGTATCTTTAGAAACCTAATCTTCATTTGTCTTTAGGCGTTGGAAACATTACATGTAAACTTACAGATATATTTTAAGACAGACATGGTGTTGTTATCAGTTCTGACCCATAGTGACCCCGTGTGCAACAGAATGAAACACTGCCTGGTCTCCCAATGGTTGCCATGTTTGAACCCATTGCTGGAGCCACCGTGTGAATCATCTCATTGAGGGTCTTCCTCTTTTTCATTGATCCCCACTTGACCAAGCGTGATGGTCTTCTCCAGGGACTGCTCCCTCCTGATAACATGTCCAAGGTACCTGAGGTGAGCTCACCGCCCTCGCTTCTGAGGGGCGTTCTGGCTGTACTTCTTCCAGGACAGATTTGTTCATTCTTCTGGCAGACCATGGTATTTTCACTATTCTTTGCCAACAACATAAGTCAAAGGCATTGATTCTTCCTTGATCTTCCTTATTCCTTGTCCAGCTTCTGCATGATTATGAGGGGATTGAAAATATCATGGCTTGGGTCCAGTGCACTTTTGTTCCGGTTCCCTAGTCCCACTCTGAAAAGAAATACACCACAAATGGGATGGCCTTAACACACCAGACTTTATGCTTACAATTTGGAGGCTTTAAGTCCAAGTTCAAAGTGCCAGGCTCTAGGGGCTGGGTGAAAGGCCCACCGAGAAAAGAAAAATGAAAACCAAATCCTTGACCATGAAGTCGATCCCGGCTCATAGTGACCCTGAGGCAACCCACCTCATGGGGTTTCCAAGGCTGAGATCTTTTCAGAAGCGGACTGCCATCTTTCTCTTGGGGAACATCTGGTGGGTTTGAACCACTGACCTTTGGGTTAGTAGCCTGTCGCTTTAACCACCATGCCAGCAGGGCTCCTGTCACAAGTGCACAGTGGCGCACAGTATGCATAAATTGAAAATGAAGTTTCACGCTTGATGTAGGAAAAGCTTCCAAATAGTGCTGCCTCATTTCACCCGTACTCATTGTTGTGTGGCAGGGGCCGGCGTCCGTGGGTGGCGTCTAGCTGCCTGGCTGCCCTCACTCTCCTCTTTACCACCTGACTTTGACCTGAAGATGAGTTTGATCTCTGAGTGCATTTACCTCGCCGACTTCTGAGTCTTAAGCCTGCGGGCAGGGAAGGATGCCTGTCTTCATCCTGGGCCGCTTCCTTCCATGAACGGGGTGTGGGGTGTTACCAAGAGTCGTCTCACATCCATTATGGGACTTTGCTCTGCTGTGGGGACTGAGTGGCCTTAGTTTACCTGAAGAGGGATTGTCTCTCCTCACATATGTCCCATTCAGTCACGAATATTGACTGTCTTGTTAAAAACCAAAAACTTCCATGATTCTGACTGATGGTGGCTCCGTGTGTCCCAGGAGGACTGTGCCATAGAAGTTTTCCTTGGCTGTAACCTTTATGGAAGGAGATTACCAGGACTTTGTTCCCTGGCACTGCTGGATGGGTTGGAATTGCCAACCTTTAGGTCAGAGTTGAGCGCAAACCAACGAGAAGTCATCGTCTAGGACTGAGTCTTCATACTTGCCTGTTTCACTTTTTCTCTTTAAAGGGATGATGCAGACAAACACGGCTTCCAAGACTCAAAAGGATGTGATCAGAAGGCCAACGTTTGTGTCTTCCTGGGATGTGGAGGAGCGTCGAAAAGGGCCAGAGTAAGTGTCCTGAACACCGTGGCTGTCAGACGTTTGAGATGTTCATGCTGTGACCTCGTTGAGCCCTGCGTCTCTGGACTCTGCTCTGCGGTGTTGCTGCTGGAGTGAAACCACCACTTCCTTTTGGGTTATCAGTGCCTCGGTGCTTTGAGATAACATTAGACCAGGAAACGTGAGCTTCTTCCAGCCGTAGCTCTCAATAGATCAGATGTGACCGGGGTACAATAAAATAGCATTTAGGAACAATAGCATTGAGCAGCGGGGTGCACCATTACTGGGCGTTTTTTTTTTTTTGCTGTGGGATTTTGAGGGAAATTAGTTTTGCTGAGTGGATTTATAGAGGGTGGCGCATGTGGGAGGCGGACGAGAGAGTGTGTTGGAGAGAAAGGAGGGCACAGGCAGTGAGTGGCCCGAGCACAGGCTTTGGGGACGGTCAACTTGACTCAAGGGGACTTTGCAGTTAGTTTTGCTGTGTTGGTGGGGACTCAGTGTGACTCTGTTGTGACTCATGAAACCATCAGTAAAGTCTACATTGTTCACCAAAACGTTTGGAGTTGGATCTTTTTTCTCTGGGTGATTTTTCGTTCTGTGTAAATCAATGAATTCCAATTAGATTTTCCTGGTTTTAAGAATTTAATGTATCTCATGCAAAGGAAAGTTAAAGAGAAACAACGTCTGACAGGAGTCCAAGATGGGAGCTGAGCTGTGTCGGGGCCCAGGATAGGGACTGTCCCGACTCTGCTTTACAATTCCTCTCTGCCACTTGCTGGTGTCATTAGCTGGTGGCCAGTCAGCCAGCTGACATTGCTGAGTGGCTGGAAGTTAAGGATAGAAAGTTCCTTGGGCTATGGAGCTGGGAGCCAAGTGAATCTTTTTCTTATTTGTAGCTGTCTGCCGGCACCGTCCCCGCCCGAGCCTGTCACCTCAAACGTTTCTCCTCAGTGGGACCATCACCTGCCCCTGAATGGATATACGGTAACAGCTATTCTGCACTTGGGGGATGAATCATTTGAAGGTGGGGAAGGGTGCTTTGGTACAAGTCTGTGTCAGCTTGTTTGTGTGTATGAATGGCTTCCAAGCCTCTTGGATCCAGAGTCAAAGGGGGACACTGTTCTTCCCCTTGGGGACAGCCAACTGGCCCTGGGGACAGCCAGCCACAGTGGGGTTCCATTGCAGAGCTCAGCCACATGCGCGCTCATCCGCGCAGGTCCTTCTCAGGCCTCCCCCGCTATCGGAAAGAAGAGCCTTCCTGTGAAACCTTTCGTAAACCACAATGGCGTAAAGCAGAGAAGCCGTTAGTATTAATTTATATGGGAAAAATTGGTGCACATTCCCAGGCTCAAAAAATCACCTACCAGATCATACCACCTGACGCATCAGACCTGAACCCCACTGGCGCAGTGTTCACAGGCAGGGTCAGGGCTGCGGCGGCCTGAAGCTGAGATGCTGAGCGGTGTTGCTCTTGGGGAAGGAGCTTGGTGACACCACTCGCACCACTCCGGGTGCACGCAGCCTCTTTAACGGCTTGATGCAGAGCAAATGCCGAACGCTCGATTCACTTTTTGTCTTTGCAGTAGTGAAAATCTTCGTATTTATTTCTGTTAGCACCAGAAGGTGCTAATGTAAGTCTTTCATAAAAGCGAGGTGGTGTGAAGCAAGTTTTCTAAAAGTGGGGGATAGTTGTACCTCTGGTTTACAAAAATCTATTACTTTATTTAAAAATTTGAGGTGAAATCCTCGTAACACTGACCATTTTAAGGCAGACAATTCAGTGGCTTGGATTAATGTCACCATGAGCATCTAGCTTCAGTTTTCAAAACCCCTAAAGGAAACCTGTCCTCATTAAGCCATTAAGCAGTTAATCCTCCTTCTCTCTCCCCCCTGCCCCCACATCCCTGGTAACCACTAAGCTTTATTCAGTCTCCATGGATTTACTACTTTGGATGTTTCATACAAATGGAATCAGTGTCCCTGTTTTCAAGATGAGTAAACTGGAACTCCGAGAGTCAAAAGGGCTTGTCCTTAACTGAAGTTAAAAAGCAGGTGTCTGTGGGAATCCAACAAACGGTGTCCCACCCACAGTGTTGGGTGCGTTTTTCCCCATGTCACCCGCCCTCCCCGCCCTCCTATCACGCTCTGGCCCCAGCACCCACAGCTCTGCTTGGGCTCCGGCACCTCTGACCCTGCCCTGGTTTGGGAGCCGTAGGCCGGGAAGTTGCTAGGTCACTGGACTCAGCCAGGTCCTGCGAGGCCTCCCTTTGCCTTCCGCGATGTGGTGTTGGCCTTCCGTCAGCTTCAACAGGTTGCTTGGCTGATCATTCCCGGAGTGAGGTGCCAGAGCTAGGGCCCCGGAGCTGGCAGATCCACTGCTGATCCCACTTAGGCCTGGTGGGGAGTCTCTGTGGCCTAGACCATGCGACGTGTACACACACCATCTTGGAATGTCTCCTTCACACTCAAACGTTTTTATTTTTATTTTTTAGTTGTCAACAATCAGTGACCGACTTCCAGAATATGCTAGGATCAGCGAGAGTTTTAAAGCTTCCATGAAAAACTTCAAGATTGAAAAGATAAAGAAGATGCATAACCCCGTGCTCCTGACGGCCTTTCAAAGGTGAGTGGCCGCGTGCGGACGTCCTCACGTGAAGTTAGAAAGAACGACGCAATCTGCTCACTGATAGTGATGTTTACTTCCATTGTCAAGTTTGTCCCATCTCTAGCTATTTTTCCTGTGCGTAAACCCGAGCTTCTCTCTTTCAGCTTTATAATTTCACAATTCAATAATCTTATATAGGCCTAGCATCTAAAAGTTTTTATAAATCTACTTTTTCACGGCCCCATTTAGAAAGCTGGTACAATAGCATTTGGCCACGACTAGATGTTAAATGGGGTTGATGTTACTGAGCAGGGTCGGGGAGTGTTCTCAGTATTAGGTCTCGCGTTTCCTGTTGTAGGAGAAAATTAAGCATGAAGAATGCTAATGAGAAAGCCCTGTTTCATGCTGTGGACCGCCGCCACGTGGAGTCCATCTGTGAGAGCAACTTTGACTGGACCTTCCACGAAACGCATGAGGCCAAATACGGAAAAGGTTTGTGCTGAATTTCAGAAGCCGCGTTTGTAGGGTCAGTTCCTGACTGGCAGTGGCTGCAGCGATGTGCTCGAGCATAGCAGGGATTGTGAGGCTGGCACAGAACCGGCTGGTGACCGGTGGTACAGAGGGGCACTGTGAGTCGGAATCGACCGGACGGCACCTAATGACGACAATTAGTAGAGTCATAAGTAAACATGTCTCTCGAGGAAGAGACATACATTACGATGATGCACTTGATCTGTGTTGAGCTGCATGTCCAGGCTTTAGCAGTAGTCCTAGGGCCCTCTAGAGAAACCGGTCACATATCCACACATATGAAATCATGATGGAGACAGAAAGAGAGGAAGACCGACTGACTTGGAGGTACTGTTCATGTTCTCGTCGGGGGCTGGCCGGTCCCACATCTGTAGGTCAGGTGACAGGAAGAGTGAGGTGAGCATCCTGACAGAATGCCTACTCACAGCTGGAGGTGAACACGCCTCGGGGAAGGGTCCTTTTGCTCTGAAGGCCTTAAGTGATGGGTGATTCCATGACATTAGATCACATTATGGAAGGTCATTACATTGTATGAGTAGATTACATCCTAGCCTGAGTGGCACAGACAGTTAAGTTCTTGACGACTAGCTGACAGGTTGGGAGTTCAAACCCGCCCACAGGTTGGGAGTTCAAACCCGCCCAGAGAGTGCCTCAGCAGAAAGGCCTGACAGTCTGCTTCCCAAAGGTCACGGCCTTAAAAACCCCATGAGGCAGTTCTTCTCTGCACACATGGGGGCACCGTGAGTTGGGATCGACTCAAAGACAGTTAACCACAACCAGCACAGACTACTTGCTGGAAGGTCCTCTGCTCGACTTAAGGCCACCTGACTTAGTCACGTGGAAGGACTTCATGACAGCAACGAGGCTAGTGTTTGACTAACCAACTGGGAGCCATAGCCTAGCCCACAGGACACATACAGTTACCCAGCATAGCAGTCATGGGGAGAGAAAACGCTCTGAGTAGCCGTCGACGTCCAGTTGTAGTGGTTCCCCGGACTGTGGCTTGACCGCTAGAACTCAGCCTAGCTCCCGACTTCCATCTTTATTCGGGAAGTGCCTGGCAGTCTACTCCTGCTAGCACAGCCCGCCATCCGCCCTCTGCAGCTACCACCCAGGTCTGGCGATGGCCTTCCTGACTCACGCCCAAGCTTGGGAAGCCACGTGAAACAGGCCTCTGTTACCACTGATAGGTTCTCCTCAAACGTCTGAGCTGTGTCATTGGGGGCCTGAGGCATCACAGATCAGCTTCCACACAGAATCCTCTTGGCTTTGCTTGTTGCTCTTAAGCCTGCGCGTCCAACTCTTCGTAAAACAAACGAGACTGCTCGTCTTTATGGAACAAGTCAGAGTTTATCACGCTTTTATAGTGGGCTCAACTCATATTCGCACACATACCCCAAAAGAAAAAACCCCCTAGTCAGCTCTGCCTGTCAGCAGACCTCGTTTCCTACCCAAAGTCAGGAGGGTAGTGACTCCAGGGTTTCTGCAAGGCCACCAGGTGCCTTCCTGTTCTGTAAGTAAAGGCTCCATCCTCGTCCTCTTTCCTTGTATAAGAAGTTGTTGACTGAGGAGGTGTAGTCGCTGCATCTCAGTCAAAAGCTGTTTGCATTTTAGAGACATCTCTCCCAACACAATATTCCATTAATTCATTAAATTCTTCTAGGTTCTGGGGACCCAGACTTTTCTTTTGGAGCTGACATTGAGAGCTATGCTGAACAATATGGCAGCCACTAGTCATCCGTGGCCATTTATTTATTTATTTTAAATTTCTCATTGATTTTGTTGGTGTTGCGCGTTTTCACAGCAAGACATACATGACTTCAACAGTTTCCACACGTACAATTCAGGGACATTGAGGACATTCTGTGTGTCGTGTAGCCATTCTGACCTTCCTTTTCTGAGTTGTTCCTCTGCCATTAACATCAACTCTCTGCCCCCTGAGGTTCCTGTCTAATCTTACCAGTTGTTGTTGCCAATCTGATTCCATAAAGATGGTTCTTAAAACAGCATAATGCTCAAGGCAGACAGCCTTTAATTAGTTAAGTTAAGCTATTGTTTGGTTTTAAGAAGACTTCAGGGGATGTCTTTGCTTTAAGGTTTAAAGATCATCTGAGGGCAATAGTTTCAGGGGTTCGTCCAGCCGCTATGGGTCCAGAAAGTCTAGAGTCCATGAGAATTTAAAGCTCTGTGCTGTGTTTTCCCCCTTTTGATGAATATTCCTCTATAGAATCTTTGATCAAAATTATTCAATAATAGTAGCTGGACCCCATCTAGTTCTGGTCTCCTGGCAAAGGAGGCAGTTGTTCATAGAGGCATTGGCCAGACGTCCATGTTCTCCTATTCCTGACATTCCTTCTTCCTCTGCTGCTCCAGGTGAATTGAGCCCAATTGCTGTGGCTAGGCGTTGAAATTTAAATGAATGAAAATTCCATAAACGTAGTCACTTAACTCCTCATTTGCACTACCCACATTTTAGGTGCTCAGTAGCCACACATGGCTTGTGGTTTACGTATTGGACAGTGCACACATAAGACATTTGCACATCACAGGAATTTCTATTAGCAGAGCTATTATAGAGGCTCATAGTAAGGGGTTCAGAATTGTTAGGGACTATGGTTTCTCCCACAAATTAATGAATTGAAAAAAAGAGGGGCTATTACAGAATAAAATGGACTTAGGAGGCCTAACAACCGAATGCAACATGAGTACCCTCTCTGGCTCTTGATTAGAACAAACCAAGTGTAAAAAGACATCTTTGAGACAGTCGGAGAAATTGGAATGGGGATGGCTCATTAAATATTTAGGAGCTGTTGTTAACTCTGTTTTGTGTGGTAATGACATGAAGGTTGGTTATGGAGGAAGAATGGCATGAAAAAAGCACAGTCCTTTGATCCGATCCCATTGCATCAATTTATTGAGTGAATGAAAAAGATGAATCAGAGTCGGTTACAGAAAAGCAGCATGTTGTGAAGTTGAAGGGAGGCCTCTAGGGCTTCAAAGAAAGCCCAGCTAGGCAAAATAAAAACAATTGGAAGAGTGTTTGGGGAGGACAAGGGCTTCATAAAAGTCAGGAGAGACTGGAGCCAGCAACACACGTTTAAGTCGTGTGGTGGGAGCGAGAAAGATGAGGCTGGGGACACATCCTGAAAGTCCTCGCAAGTCCTGTTAGGGGACAGGTTTTATTTATAGGGCACCGGTCACCATCCAGTGGCTTTAGAAGGGGAGTGAGCCTCCCTGGAGGTGGAGAGGGCGATTAGGAGGCCAGGCCAGATATGAAGGTCCCGGGCCAAGGTGATGGCAGCCGGGTTGGAGAGGATGCTGGGGTCAGGAGGTCTGTACCCAGAAAGGATGGGTATTGGCAACAGCAGAACCGTTCGCGTTTCAGGAGAGTGGGCTGCACGGTCAGGTCTCGGTTCGATCGTTGACCCAGATGTATGTACATTGCAGATACAAGCTCGATTTAAAACCCCAGAAGTTGCTTAGCGCGATGGGCTTGCTTCTCTGAACAGACAGTGATAAGGATATCCTTCAAAGCTGTCTAATGCCCGTTCATCGATTTTACACGCCTTTGACTGCTGTAGCATTGATCAGCGAAAGTCATCACATATTCAGATCAGCACTCAGACGCCCTTAGAAAATGAAAAATCCAGGGGAACAAGTATAAGAGTAATTCAATGCCGTTTAAAGAAATATTCGGTTTTTGAATTGAATGACCTTCAGGGTTTGAAAATGAGGTGATGTGGCTTTATCAAGCAATAAGAATGCACTATGAAGGAAAAAAAGGCTGAAATTCCCGACTCTTGCTTTCATTCCATTTGCTTTAAGTCAAGTGTATTTTTCATTGCTAATTCCATAGTATGTGTTTTACACCAATTACATGCATAGCTAAAACTTGCCCTTCTCTGGAAATGTTCGCTTTCTGGCGCATACATAGGAGTCTGAATGAGTGATCAGCTATATTAGGAGGTGTCTACCTTGTTGCTATTTAAGTCTGGCTGAAGATCAAGTATGTTTATCCTTGGGAGCCTCTCGGGACCTGTTTGGGCTTATTTCATAGACAGTGTCTTTTCTCAGGAGTGGGGCAAAGATGCTAGAGGCAGGCGGCAAGAAGTTTGCAGGGAGGAGTGAGAAAAATAAAATCCATAAAACACGAGCACGATAACTTAACGCTCTTTCTCACTCTGGAGCTATTGTTGCTGTTAAGTACCATTGAGTTGGTTCTGACTTACAGCGACCCAGGTACAACAGAACGAAACACTGCCAGGTCTTTCCCCTCCTCGTAACTGTTACTGGCTTGAACCTATCATCACAGACACCGTCCGAAAATGTCTCACTGCTATTCATAAGGTTTTTAGCGGCTGATTTTCAGAAGTGGACTGCCTCTTCCTTCTTCCTAGCCAGGCTCTGCTGAAACCTGTCCACCCTGGGTGACCCTGCTGTTATTTGAAATACCAGTGGCATAGCCTCCAGTCTCACAGCAACATGCACGCCAGCGCAGTGCGACACACTGCAGACAGGTGGTGGCTGGAGCTGTTGTGTAGGGGTGGCTAGCCCTGTCCGCTCAGTAACTCGGAAGGCAGCCTGTCTTACCAGGCAGCTTGGTGGTAGCATTCTCAGATTCCACGTGGGTGACCTGGTCTGCTTCCTGGCAGCACACCTCACCCGCAGCCCCCACCCATCTTGTAAGTTCAGGTACCCCCGCCTTTCGAGAGTTCACTTCACACCACTTGGCTCTTAGAAAAGATCTACATCAGTACCTGTTTTCCCTAACCAAAAGAAATCTGAAGAGAATTTTCGCTTTGATGGGGGAAGAAAGGTAAAAAGCCAACTAAAGCATTCAGCGTTTGTTTTGTAACAAGCCACTGAAGGGGCAGTATGCACTCTGAGCAGCGTGTGTGGCACCCCAAGCTCCCTACCCAGGAACCACACCATACATCCATCCTTTCCCCTTTCAGTAGGCTGAGTGTTCACCCCATCATCCCTATTTCTGCTACACATTAGTGTTATTTTAGGTTTTATGTGTTACTTGGTAGGATTTGGTAGGTTCTTTTTTGAGCCTGAGACTTGCTCAAAAATATTTCCCGTATAAGTTATGTAATCATAACTGCTTATTTGCTTTACGCCATCTTGGCTTATGGAAGGTTTCATGGGAACGCTCTGCTGTCGGATGGGAGGGAAACCCATATAAGGAAAGGCTCGTAGCATCTGTAAGGTAACGTTAAGGGGCCTTGGCTGCTAACTGAAAGGTCAGCAGTTTGAACCTACCAGCAGCTGTGGGTGAAAAGAGCTAATGATCTGCTCCCATAAAGATTGCAGCCTGGAAAACCCTGTGGGGCTGTCCCACTCTGCCATATAGCATCACTACAAAAAACAAAAACCCAAACCCATGCCATTGAGTCAAGTCCGACTCATAGCCACCCCCATTGAGTTTCTGAGGAGGTAAATCTTTATGGAAGTAGATTGCCCCATCTTCCTTCTGCAGAATGGCTGGTGGGTTTGAACCACCAACCTTGTTAGCAGTCAGATGCCTTAGGCACTGCACCACCAGAGCTCCTTATAGGATCACCGAGTCAGAATCGATTTGTTGGCACCCAACAACAAGGTAAGGTAGGCATACGTTTCGTAAACACCTGTTGTTGTTGTTGTTGTTATGTGCCGTCGAGTCGGCCCCGACTCATAGCGACCCCTCCTTGGGTTTCCGAGGCAGTATCACTACGGAAGTAGGATTGCCCAACCTTCCTTCCGAGGAGTGGCTGGTGGGTTTGAACCGCCAGCTGTCTGGTTAGCAGGCAAGTGTCTTAGCCACTATGCTACCAGAGCTCCTTCGTAAACACCTAGTACCACCTAGTACCAGATTATGTGTCAATATTCGTAGAAACTACAGAGCTGCTTTGATAACGATTCTCGACTTTTCTCTCTGGTTATTTCTAGGAAATTACTTCACCAAAGAAGCCATCTATTCCCACAAAAGTCTCCTGTCTGATGACAAGAACAGAGTCATGTTTGTAGCGCGGGTCCTGGTTGGCAATTTCATTGAAGGAAATAGGACATACACAAGACCTCCTCGCAGATACTATGAGGCCGAGACGCCATATGACAGCTGTGTTGATACAAGGTTGAATCCGTCTGTTTTTGTCGTCTTTCAGAAAGATCAGATCTACCCAGAATATGTGATTGAGTATACGGAAACAGACAAGGCCTGTGTGATTAGTTAGACATGAGGGCTACCCTGTCGTGACGGACAACCTTCCGTTCACTTACAGAACCCACCTGCCCTGAATGATGGTGACACTTACATTCCTGTCACTGTTTCCCAAACTCTGCTGCGTATTTGCGTCACCTGATGTGTTCGTTTCCTAGGACTGCCATAACAAAGTACCACAAACGAGGGGCTTTATACAACAGAAGTTCCTTGTTCCCAGTTTTGGAGGCTGGGAGTCTGAGAATAAGGTGTCAGTCTTCTGAGGCTCTGAGAAAGAAACTGTTCCTTCCTCTCAGCTTCTGGTGGCTCTGGGCCTTCCTGGACTTACAGTTACAGCACCCCACAGTGTCCTTCCTCTGTCTCCCTGTCTCTCTCTATAAGGACACCACTCATAGGATTAGGACCACCCTACTCCGGTGTGACCTCTTACTAACACAACAGATAACATCTTCAAAGACCCTGTTTCCCAGCAGGGTTCCATTCAAAGGTGCTGGGTTAAGACTTCAGCACATCTTTTTGAGGGAAACAATTTGATCCTTAATACCTGGTAATCTCTCAATCCTGATGCCCGGATCATTTCAGTCACCACGTGTGCAGGTGAGAGCCAGGCAGCAGGCTTTTAAAGATCCCAGATTCTCACGTGTAGCCAAGCTTGGGAACCTCTGCCGCAGATGCAGCTGGTCAAGGCAGATGTCTAAATTTTCTGTACAGCCAGTCCCCGGACAGGGGCAGATTACCCAGAAGCAGGACAAGCACACAGAAGCCCGTGCTTACCCTGCTTCTGGGTAACTTGTAAATTTGAAGAGAGGCTTTGATCTGTAGGAAGCTGCTGTGGGTTTGGGAGTCATACCTAAAAGTAGCATCTTTGATGTGGTGAAAAAAAATGTGAACATATTCACTATAGATTAGTAAATAAGCACAGGTAAGCGTGTGCTTGCCTTGCGTACAGGGTGACCTGAGACCATCCCAGGGTCGTGCAGTCAGATTTACAGACCATGCCTGTTGGCCCTTTAATGTTACGTAAATATGCTCTCACTTTGAAACACCTCCCGACAAATTCTTCATTCTGCTGCACAGGCAGCTTTTAATTTACTGAAAAGGGCTTCAAGCCTTTCTCTGCACTAAAGTCGGGCGGAACAAGTACCCTATGTACCTGTTCCGATTTAGCTACAAATTCTACTTGGACACAGTTAGGAACTGATCTCATTCGTAACCCGGGGACTGCCTGGAATGGCGGCAACCTCTCGCCTCGTTTACTGTACGGTGTGGTTTTGTTGGGTTAAATGGTATGAAGATTATTTTGAGGAAATCCTAAAAATGCCAATGGAAAGAAGGACATCAGTGTTTACAGCCTTGGGTGGAAGGTTGTGAAAGGGGGTAGACCGTTCTTCGGTGCAGGCTGGAAAGATAAGATAATTGAAACGTGATTACAGACACGCCATAGTACTGCGTCATTATCTGTGAGATGCAACATCTGGACACCCACTTACTTATCTCGAAGTTTATTTAGGGGACCCTTTTCGGTATGCAGTAAAAAGCTGCCATGCGTGGCGCAGAGAGACGCAACTAGTGCAGTTCATTGCCCGTTCAGGCCCTTCGCCCAGTTGTGGCAAGGGAAGTACTTAACCTTCTACTGAGTGTGATTGCAGAGGAAAGCTTTGTGGGACCAGGCTTTCTTTTCGGTATCTTGTGGAGATTGTTACCTTCCTGGGGGTTGTTTTGAAATGATGACGTCTCTTCTTGGCAGGAGACTGACCTCCAGTAACCAGACCCGTACAAGCAGGACTCATTAGACCCGAGTGTTAGCGTAGTTGTTCTTTGCGACAGATAAGCTCACCCAGGAATTGGGACCAGGGCCCTCTCTCTGAAGGACTGTCCCCCTGGTGAGCACAGAGTCAGAACAAAGGGAACATCGCCCCAAACAGCCTGCAAGGGGTGCCTTCTCTAAGTCTGACTGGAATCGCAGTTGATTTATCAAGCAGTCAGGTTGCCTGGACCAATATTTCCTTCCTTAGTATGAATAGGTTCTTCCTTCTGGTATTCGCCTATCAGCCACCGGCATTTCCTGTTACAGTTCCTCTGGCAGACGTGTTAAAAGTAACTGGCCTTCGAGTTGATCTTCTGTTCCTCACATTTTGCATCTTTGTGAAATCCCCACAGCTTCTTAGTTTGACGAGTCCCACCCAGAGGTGTGTCTAGCATGTGGCAGGTACAACGAATGCCCACCTGAGGGGGGCGCCAGGGAGCAGTTTCTCTTGGTCTCAGTTTCCATCGCCAGCTGTGAGAGAGCTTTCAGCAATTTTTGAAAAGATTCTCGCAGACTGTATTTCCCGTAGATACACCTGGCGCCCCCCAGAACAGAAGCATAGAGATGTAGGGTGTGTTTCCGGGAGGTGTGTCACAGATGGTTACTCTCATCCACGTTAGTCATGTAGGTTCCGTTCTGGAGTTTTCACTTCCCGACCTTGACCCTCATGTGATAAGCCTAAACCAGACCTGTTGGCTGTGGAGTCCACTTCTACTCATAGTGACTCTATAGGACAGCATAGAGTTGCCCCATGAGGTTTTCAACACTGTAATCTTTTAAAATTATTATTATTATTTTTTAATCTTTATGGGATCAAAAGCTCTCCCAGAGCTGCTGGAAGGTTTGAACCACTGGCCTTGTGGTTAGGAGCTAAGGGCTTAACCACTGCACCACCAGCTCCTTCCTGATGTTGAAGAGGGGGCGTTTACGCATCCCTCTCCAACTACCTACACATCCCCAGTCCCTGGGTAGCACAGATGGTTAACTGCTCAGCTACCAACCGAAAGGTGGCTGGTTCAGATCCCCCATGGGTGCCTCAGAAGAAAGGGCTGGTAACCTCCATCTGCAAAATCAGCCGCCGGAGCACAGTTCTGCTTTGGCCACTCGGGGTTGCCAGGAGTCAGAATCTACTCCGTGCCAATTGCTTTTAATGAGCTATTTTACAGCCCTCCCACATTCAACATGCCCCACATGGACCTCTGTCTGCCTCCTGAAATCAGCCCATCCTGCCTCCAGCGTTTTCTGTATTTGATAGGTTACCTTGACACCCCCCTCTCCTTATACATCTAAGTAGTCCCAGGCCCACTTTTGCCCCTTACACGTCTCTTTATCCCCTTCTAAGGAGCTCTGGTAGCATAGTGGCTAAAGCACTTGAATGCTAACCAGAAGGCTGGCGGTTCAAACCCACCCGCCACTCCTCGGAAGGAAGGTTGGGCAATCCTACTTCCGTAGTGATACTGCCTCGGAAACCCAAGAAGGGGTCTCTATGAGTCGGGGCTGACTCGATGGCACATAACAACACAACAACAACAAGTTCCCTATTTAGCAGAAAGGAGGGTTTGTTGTTGCATTTTTACTTAATGATCTTTGAAAATCACACTCTGGTTAACCCTCTAGGCTAGAGTTCACAGTCATTGCCACGGCCCTTGGTGGTCTCTCCCTTCCCTGTCTCATCTTGTTGGTTCTCTTTTGTTTCCTCGGTGCTTAGCTCAGTGGTTCTCAATGAGCACTCTTGCCTTTTTCCTGTTTTAATCACAAAACGTTTGTTAACGTCTCTTTTTTAATCCTGAAATACAATTCATGAGTAATACCCTCTACCTATGCATAATTTTAGGAATCAACTAACAATGAACTAAAGTTAATATCACTGTCACAGAGACATAAGAGGTATGTAGAAGTCAGGGGCTAATCACAAAGAAATGGGCACTTCACCGAAGGTGGGAAATCAGACGCTATTTTGTTCCATCAGGAAAATCAGAAAGTAGGGACACAAGTGAACATCAGAATGAAAACCAGTGACACTGTAATTTATTTCCATGTGATGAGACTTACTTTTATATGAGAACGAAACAACCTTACTTGAAATAAAGATAATATGCAAGAAAATGTCCAGACTGTGCAAGTGGAGAACATGAGACACGATGATATTCTTGCAGACGAAGTACCGGTCATACGAGTCTCTGGTGAGACATTCATAGGTCGTACAGGGTACAGAATTATTCTTTGTTGTGGGAGACCATCCAGCATATTGCACGATGTCCAGCAATGCATACTGGCTCTCCCACATTCAATGCCAGTGGCACCCCACCCCGATCATGGTGGCAGCCACAAATACCGTCAAACCCATCGGCCTTCCAGAAAGTAGACGCGGTCTGTAGCATCTCTTAGCTGTCCCGAGCTAATTCACAGCTCGTATCATCTACGTAACACATGATTTCAACGCCCAAGGTCATCTATGATGGGAAGAGCCAGGAAAGGCTTTTGATGACAGTTACGTACATTCCAGTATGAAAATACTCGGGTGTGACCAAGCTGGAAACCATCATGACACAGCTAGATGTCAACCCCTAGTGTAATGAACAGGATTGCATTTAAGAGTCGCTACGAGACAGCCCTGTAAAGAAGGACAGGGAGATGAGAGTTTGGAAGTGTGGGTGACACTAGGCTGAAAACCAGCAGTAGGGTATGTCATGCCACCATAGACCTTATGTGTATATGGTAAGAGAAAGGGCGAAATTACCTTAATTGAAATAAGGATACTCGGACAAGCCACAATACAGATTGTCCTGATGAGTCATATTCTCTCAGATGAGCTGTAGGTCCAGCATAGTTGTCCTGGCGGACATCACGAAGGTGTATAGGATACAGAACGGTTGGTTCTTCCTTGTGTGGGACTAGTCCACACACCGCAGGACATAGGTTAGCCCTGGCTACAGCCACTCAATGCCAGTAACGGCCCCGTTATTATGACCCCAACAACACACCCATCGATTTCCAAACTCCCACAGGTGACAACCACTGACCTAGTTTGGTTTGACTTCCACGAGGTCTCTAGGTTATGTCGGATCCATCTCTCCCAACTTCTTTAAAAATGTTTTGCACCTTGCTTTGTTCATTTTTAGCAGGTTTCTAATATGCAATTGTCTGCTTTCCTCCTTAGAATGTGAACCCCATGAGGGCAGAGTCCAGTTTGTTAACCACACCCAAAGCCTAGCCAAGCTTGGTGCTTGATCTGCTAAGTGGCAAATTTTGTTGGATAAATTAAGCTCAACTACTTGTATTTCAATAATTGTAGTTCCTCTTGTTGCTCTTCAAGCTTGAGACTGTTTAATAAAAAGAAATCCTTACCAGTTTTGCTATCCCGCCTTTGTTTATTCTTGTCCTAGGGATCTCCAAAAAGATAACCGCACCAAAACCAAACTCACTGCCCTCGAGTCGTTTCCAACTCATAGCAACTCCTCCTTGGGTTTCTGAGGTGATATCATTACAAAAGTAGATTGCCCAACCTTCCTCCCCAGGACTGGCTGGGGGTTTGACCCGCCAGTCTCCTGGTTGGCAGTCAAATGCCTTAGGCACTGCGGTACCAGAGCATAGACACGTTTATTGAGTAGGGGACAGATGGTGCCCCTTCAGTTTTTGTTCCAGTGAAGCCCTGATGGTGTAAACCTGCTAACTCAAAGACCATTGTTTCAGACTCCATCTGGACAGATTTGGTTTTCCGGTTTTCGTTGCAGGATCCAGGACCAGGGGGCAGCAGCCTTTAGCACACTCCAGGGGACAAGATTGGGGGGTGGGGGAGGCACAGTTGGTGTCTCAGCCTCCTAGAGGGCTGTAACGCAAACACCACAAGTGGGGTGCTATCAAGAACAGAAATACATTTTCTCACAGTTTTGGAGTCCTAGTCAGGGTTTCAGCCATGTTGATGCCCACCATCGAAGCCCCTCAGGACAGGCGCTCACCCTGAATGCTGCCTGGTCCAGAGTTACTGTCTCTGGCTGTCTTGGTGGCCCCATCCCTGGTGACTCAATGTTGAGAGGACCCCACTGTCCCTGTCAGGCTCTGTAGGGGCGGGCCTCACTGTTCCTGTCTGTGTGAGGGTACACCTTGCCTTCCCTGCTTGGTCCAGTGTGAGGGTACTCCACAGTCCCTATCTGACCCTGTTGTCATCCCTGCCGGGCCCCAAGTCCAGGGATAAGCCCAATGTGCCCATATGACTCTGCAGGAGCCAAACTCATTGTTTCTGCTCGGCTCCGCCTGGCGCTCACTGGCCCTGCTCACTGCGCAGCCGCGGACCCTCCCCTTCCCCCCCCCCGCCGCACCGCCCGCCTCCTTGGAGGCGGGTCCTATCGCCGGCGCCGTGAGGGGGAGGAGCCTGCGCTTCTCGTTGAGGTCTAGCATGGCGGGCAGTATGGCGGAACCCACGCTGTGCTCCTTCCTCACCAAGGTGCTGTGCGCGAACGGCGGCCGCATGTTACTGCGCGACCTGCGCACGCATGTGGAGCTGTCGGAGGCGCAGCTGCGCGCGGTCCTGCGAGCCGCCGGGCCCACGCGCTTCCTGCTGCAGGAAGGGCAGAGGCCCGCGATCCTCCCGCTGCGCTTCGCGGCCGGGCCCGAGGGCGGCGAGGGCGCGGGCGCGTCCTGCAGGGTGGTGGCCGTGTCCGCCGCGCGCCTCTGCGCCCGCTACCAGCGCGCCGCGTGCAGGGCCTGCGACCAGCTGCACCTCTGCCGCCGCCACATGCTGGGCAAGTGCCCGCATCGCGACTGCTGGTGAGCGGGGAGGGGAACCCACGCACGGGGCACTGGGCCACTCGGAGGGGACGGCGCGGGCGGGGCTAATCGGAAAGGTTGGGGGACCCCCGCGTCCGCCACCTCTGCAGGCGGGCGAAGTCCTCCCCTGGGCCAAAGCTGCGCTGTGGAAGGAGGCCCATGGCCTCCCCGTCTGGATTGCGTACCCCCTACTTCCGCCCCAGGAGCTCCCCCGCAGCGTGGCCGGTTTAAGCCGGACTGGGACTCTGCGTTCATGTGCTACGTAGGCCCTGTTCCCAGCAGCTGCGCGTTCCTCCGTAAACTCGGTCTGTACAGCCGGCCTGGGGCCGCAGGTTTGGTAATTAGTCTGATCTCGAGGAAGCGGAGACATGAGGTCTGGGGGGCTGGAGGAGGTTGGGTGCTGGTGGCTTCAGGAGCTGGGGTTGTAGGCGTTCCACCCTCGGCTCGCCGCGACCTGGCGACTTTCTTTATTATGGTAGCGGCCAGGGTGGGGGTGGGGGGCTGTGAGCGCGGGAGCTCTTGGGATGGCGCGAACGCCACGTGCAGCCCTTGGGGTGCCCATCTGTTTAGCAGATGGCCTTGACTTTTAAGCGCCCTTATTTAAAACGAAAGGGAATTGCTTCAACAGCTTTTTGTTGCTGGGGTGTTAAAGATATGCCACGCCATCTTGTGTGGCTCTTCCGGGTTCTTCTTTATTCCCTGCTGCCCCACGAAAGGTCCTAAGTCAGTTAAAGGAAGTTGAAACGGAGTTTCCTGCAAGGCGCGAATTTTAAAAGGCAGCATAGCTTCTGATAGGTTAAGACCCCGTGCGTCAGCTCTGACGTACAACCTCCTAAATCCGGGTCTATATAAGACCTCGCTCTCCCCTCCTCTTCCTCTTTTCCTCTTCTTCGTCTGTCCTTCCTCGGCACAGGCACCTTTCGCCTCCTTAATAAAATCTCCTGTCGGGTACCCACCCTGGTGTGTGGCGTGGTCGCTGAGTGCTGACGGAGCCGCAACATGGGGGTTGCTGCGGACTCGTGGCGACCGCATGTGTGCAGAGTAGAAGTGCTCTTAGCGTTTTCAGGGCCGGAACCTTCCGGAAGCGCATTGCTAGCCCTTTCCTCCACGGCACACATGGGTGGATTCAGACCACTAACCTTGTGGGTGTTAATCAAGTGCTTTGCTATTTGATCCTCCTGTGGCGTTTGCTGAAAGGCCGAAGTTGTGTGTTAATAGAAAAGAACAGATGGAAACTGCCCTAGGCAAGGAGGCAGCCAGACTGGGGCCTTACTCTCCTGGGCCACTGCTGAAGAGCCTTGTCTCCTCCCAGGTCCACCTGTACCCTCTCCCACGATATCCATACACCTGGCAATATCCAAGTCCTGAAAAACCACGGGCTCTTTGGCCTCAATGAGGCGCAGCTTCGGATCCTACTTCTGCAGAACGACCCCAGCCTTTTACCGGAGGTGAGTCACCAAGGGGACTCCTCGGGAGGTGAGCGGGAACCTTAGCGTGGCCCGCAGGACGGCCTGAGGTGCGTGAATGGGGATGGCCCTGTGATGGGCCTGCATGGTGTAGAAATATTAACAGTGGCTACGGGTTTTGATCCGACTCCACCACAGTGTGTTACGTTTTGTTGTTTACTGCTGTTCTGAGTGTATGAGCCAGCATTCCACACTCCATAAAAAATAAACTATTAGCTGTCGAGCCAAATAATGATACAGAGCCAGTTGTGCAAGTATTTTTCTCCACTCACTCGTCTTTAGTTTTGGTGGTTTAGTTGCCTCGAACAATGTGATTTGAGCAGCTGGTAGGTTCGAACAGTCGACCTTTTGTTAGCAGCCAAAAATGCCCTAACCACTAGAGTTGCAATATTAGCATTTTATTTCTGTTTAAAAAACCAAACTTGCTGCCAATGAGTCAGTTGACACACAGCGACCCCTCCTTGGGTTCCTGAGGTGTTATCTCTGTGGAAGTAGATTGATCAACCTTCTTTCCAAGGAGTGGCTGTGGGTTTGAACCACCAGCCTTCTGGTTAGCAGTCAGGTGCCTTAGGCACTGTTTAAAAACAAAATCGTAGGAGAAGAGATTTGTTGAGACTTGGCTTTGTGTTATAGTGGTTAGTTTAGTGGTTTTTTTTTTTGTTTGATTGTTTTTTTATGTTCGGAGATTTTGAATTCTTTTCAGTGTACTGAGTACTAACTTAACTTGCACTGTGATCAGAGAGCGTGGACACGACACTCTGTAAGCCTGGGACCGAACTCACCCCCGTGGCTCCACTTACTGCCAAACAACACCAAACCAGACTCACGGCCATTGAGTTGATTCTGGCTCATAGCGACCCCTGTTGGGCTTCGAAGGCGGTAAATCTTGGGAGAGAAAACAAGTCCCAGAGATGACTGACCCAAGGGCTGCAACAGTGGGTTCAAAGGTGCCAGCAATTAAGAGGATGGCACACGAGTGGACAGTGTTTCATTGTGTTCGACCTAAGGTCACCATGCTCAGAGCTGACCCAGTGGCAGCTGAGAAAACAGTAACAAGTAAATCAAAGCAAACATTGACAGAGTCACAGGCAGAAGATGACAAGTTCACCGTATTCCTGCGTCAGATGTCCTTTTCAGTGATCAGCAGACAGCAAATCGATGAAGATACAGAAAAGTGAGTAAGATTGATCGAAGGGTGTATACACAACTCTACACAGTCTGTCGTCTTCTCAAACAAATGGGATGTTGCAGAACTACATGTTAGTGCCCAGTTGCCATTACTGAATTTTGAGCAATGATTCTACAGAAGAATTCTGATCAAAAAGGAGAAAACGCACAACACTGTGTAACAGTCTCGTGGACTTCAGACTTTCTAGGGCCATGGCGGCTGGATGAACCCCAACACCACTGCCCTGAGATGATCTTTAAACTTTAAACCAAAAGTATCCCCTGAAGTCTTCTTAAAACAAAACAGTAGTTTAACTTAACTTAAATGTCTGCCTTAAA